ACCGTCATTATACCAAGTGTCACCTGGAACACGTCCCCAGTTCTTGTTGTCCGTGACCAAGAAAGAGGAATTCAGATCGGAACGGGTTCAGAATAGGGCAGTTAGGATGACAGGGGAATGGAGAGTCTGTTTGCGAGTGAGAGTTAAAAGAGCTTTGCTTGTTTAATTTAGCAGAACAAAAGCTGAGATGGGATGTGTTTGCTCTCCATAAATATGTCACAAGAGTAACACCAGAGAGGGAGCAGAGCTATTTAAGCTGTGGGTCAGTATTGGCACAAGAACAGATTGGTGTAAACTGCCCATGCAGGAAATCAGAAGGTGTCGAACCATCCAAGGAGTGAGGTTCTCCAAGGGCCATCTGATGGAAATGAAGAGTCCTAACAGCTTTTAAGATCAAGCTCGGTCAATTTATGAAGGGGATCATATAACAGGATTGCCTGTGGTAGCTGGGGCCTGGACTCAATGACTCAGGATGCCCTTCCAGTCTATGTGCTAAGCCTGTTGTGGGCTGGATGAAAGGATTTGGGAACATGGACACAGGAGGGAGTGGGAGAGGAAGACTGAAAATCGAACCTTCTTGTACAAAGCGGTGGCAGTCTGCCAGAGCCCCTCTGACTGACTCTGGATGAGGCAGAGCCCATGACAGGATAACTCAGGGGTCTCCTCTACCAGGAAAAAGTTAGCACTGGGCAAGGGGAGAAATCCTGGCCCCACTGAAATTTGCAGCAAAGCTTCCATTAACTTCACTGGGGCCCAGATCTCATACTCCGAAAGAGGAGTCAAAAGGATACGTACATCTTCAAAGACATAGGGTAGCTGATTAAATACAGCTGCTGCCTTGCTCATCTATCAGTCATTGATAAAACAGTGCCTTTTAAATATAAGCTGTGGGTAAACTTAACCACAAAAATCAAAACATTTCCCTCCCCAGCCTTTCAAGGCAAACCTTTCTGTTTTCATCCGAGGTAAACAAAGGAAGCCACTATATAAAAAAACAAAACAAAAACCCCTCTAAAGACTTGGCATTACATCTAATTAATAGATTAAAGTACAGAAATGCTTTTAACATGTTTTTTTAATTGGCAATGATAAATGCACTTGAACTTTGTTGCTCTAGTAATGTGTTTCTAAATTGTGTGCAAGTTACATTCCTTCTTGTCAGAAGCCCCTTTGGATTTCAAGGAGTATTGTGCTCTGGCCAGACCCTTAGGCACTGCTATGTTTAAAATCAGACTTAGGCACCATCCTGCAATGGTTTCAATTTTAGCAGACCCGCTGAAACCCCCTCAAGTGAGTGGGGCTCAGCTGGGCACAGAGGGCACACTGCAAGTACCTGTCACCGCACCTCACTTAAACTTTGTAGGAGGATGGGTGCAAGGAGAAGGCAAGCGTCTTGCCTGTGCTGGGGCCCAGATGTGGTGACTTTCTGGACCTGCTGTAAAAGGCACCCATTTTTCTATCTGCCTTTGCAAATGGTGCCCATCACCATGGTATCTGATTGCTTCCCTGACATGGGAGTATTTGATGCCCTCATAGTCATGTGGCGTGGACCGCCAGTCTCTGTGGGCCGCCTGTGGATGGTGCCCGGCGGTGAGCGTGGACCCCACACCCCCGATGGGAGTGCACGAGACATCAGCAGGGTGCTTAGTGCTTCAGAGAGGATGGATGACAGTAATCTGGAATCTGTGAAGCTGTATAATTAATGTCCAGCACCCAGCACCGTGGACTTAGGGTTGCCAACTCTGTTTGAATCTATTCCGGGAGGTTTCATCACATAATTGATTCTGGTGCATAGACTTTACATGGGGAAGGCAAATGCACATGGCTATTGAAACCCACTGGACTCCTGTATAAATCGGATTCAACATTTAATATGTATTTTAATGAATGCCTGGTCATCGATCTCAGAAGTCTCCTGGAGACCTATGTCTAGCTCCCCAAGGCTCCAGGGCAATCCTGGAGGGTTGACAACCCTATGTGGGCTGGGGGCAGGAATCATGCAAATGAATGAAAGGAGCGCTTTAAATCAAAAGTAGAAACGCAAAGCAACAAACCAAACCACAGACCAAAAATCACGAAGGAATCTAAAACAGCAATGCAAACCAAAAAAATAAAATCAAGACGGTTCTTTTCTTGTAAGCATATACATGCTCCTGTCTGGCCACAATCAGCGAGCCGGGGCAGGAAGAGCAGAGATTGCTCGAGCTGAATTTTCCCCGGTCCCTTAATTGGCTGTGAAGCTCCCCGAGTACTTTGTGCACAGTCCCTTGCACACGAGCGCATCCCCCTCTTATGTGTGCGCCGGGCAAGTGTCTGCTCAGTTCCCCGCCGGCCGAGGACGAGGTAGGTCTGCGCCGCTCCCCGGGAAGCGCTGCCGGGGGGCAGGTCTTGCACGAGCCTGGCTGCGGAAAGTCACGCAGAGAAAGTCTCGGGCGTGGAGCAGAGCTTTGTGTTTTTATTTTATTTTATTTTATTTTATTTTGTCTCTTTTGCAGCGGCAGAAAAGTTTTCAGAGGCGCTTGCTCTGCCAACCATGTGCTGTGAGATGAATGAGAGCAGCCCTTTGCTGCAGGGAGGGCTGGAGGGATTTGATTCCTGCCGTTTTCTTTGTTGCTGAAGCAAATTCAGTGGCTGTGTGGGGAGGCTGCTTTTCAAGGAGAGCTGTTGGCTGCTCTGAGTCGCATAGGTACAAGGACTCCTTTCTCTTCTCTTCCCTTCCCTCTTCCCTGGGCAAAACTATCCTAAAAGTAGTAGGGGTTTCTAAGGGATTCCTGGTAGCGAAGCCCAATGGACTTGAATAATGCTAAACTTTTGTGGTAAGTGTTTTTTTGTTTTTTTTGTTGTTTTTTTTTAAGTGTTTCACCCCCTTGTACAAGAGGGAATTTGCAGAGGATTTTGTAGATTTGGGTGAAGCAAAGAAACAAAGTAAGAAGCCTCCAGATTGTAAAACTGGAGCCCTGTAGTCCTTTAGTGCCATGCCTAAAGGACACTTCTACCTCCAGGCAGAATCTGTCATGAATGGTATAAATCTCTTTCCATGAGGGGGAAGCGGACGTGCGTTCCGATATTTTCCTTAATTTTGAGCTCTGATGTATTGTACGAGTTCCCGGTGAGAACAGCCCCGTTAGTTTGAGAGTCTGCTCCGTCTTCTCTAGTCATGGAGGGTCTGGCAAGTGTAAACCTGGTCTCGGCTGCTCTTCCCCATTATTTAACATTTGATTATGGACATGGCAAACGTTGTGTTATCGTACCGTAGGCATGCGTGGGGTTTTGCAAGCCCACTTGAAAGCAAGGTCTCCTGAAGAGTTTTCTAAACTGTACTGAGTTGTTTTCCCCCCTCAATCCGGATTATAGCTGCAAAATGAAAAGGTGTGATTTCCTTGAATGTCGGCTTTGCCATTCTTCCATGCAGAAGTGTACTGAAGCGCACATGCTCACGTAGTCTGCAGGCGTGTAACACGCTCCTCTGCTACCTCTCTTAGCCAAGGATAGATCGTTCAGCCTTGCTGACATGAGCAGTCATCTCTGTTTCAGTGAGACCGCAGGCTACAGGATTAGGGTTTCTGGTCGCCCATTAAATCCCAGATGAGCTCTGGCATTATTCTGACACAGTGTCTAATTCTCCATTGCCTTGCTTTTTATGTAGCGCTCTTTTGCAAAGCGAGTGTAAAACGCAACAGTTATGATTTGTGGGCATTTTGCACTGGGGAAATTTGAATGCAAAAGGACTATGCAAGGTGCAGCACAACGGAGATTCAAGCCTGGGACCTCTATGCAAACCCCCCCCCCCCTTAATTGTCTTCCCCCAATATTGAATAAAAAACTAAAAAAGGAGAGGGGATTGAAGA